TTTTAGACCTTACTTTAAGTATATAAATCACAAATCTCACATTAAGTACTTAAGTTACAAATCTACACTCCACAAGTTTTGAATCCAAACAATGGGTAATCAACTTTTACAGAATATCATCCTAATTGCTGATTTAAACTTAAACCATTCTTCTGGTCAATGGTCTTAATTAATGTGGAAAGTTTTGACTGGGACCTAGTAGGCTTTTAAACTGGTATTTTTTAAACTGGTAATCCTAGTACAGTTTCAGTAACAAGCCATCACCAGCTTCACTGTGAAGCTGTCATTCTTTGTATTTTAGAATATATTGTGTCAGTACAGCTTCCTGTCTTGTAAGCACTGCTGCAAGACATTAGAAGAGTATTAAGGGCTGTATTAAAAAGTTCTGTACTGAAGGGAGCATCTGAACTCCCCTATAAGAAGCTCCACAGGCTGGCTTAAGCCTACAAGTAAAGTTATGTGGGTGCTTCCATGTCACCAGAGGCTGTTGTGTCTCCTCTGATTAGAGCCATTCCTTACCTAGATAAAAGAATTCCCAACAAGTTACTGGCTGCATATCAGTGCCTGCTTTGCCTAGTTCAGTCCTTGAGAAAGCTCTCCCCTAGATATATGAATAAACATAATCACGTCTTCTGATTGTCCTTTATAAATAGCAAATGATTAGAAGATCAAAATGAATGTTTTGATAGAAAGCAGAGAATTCTCAGGTGTCCAGCTCTGAGGCCCTGAATTTCATAAGGAATTTTATTCTCTAATTTCACATATATTGTAGGAAAACCCTTGAGGAGTCCAGATGCATACAGACACCGAGTTGAGGACCCACAACAAAAGAGGAAAAGTAAAAGAAAGTAAAGTCTATAGAAAACAGTACATCATCACAGATATTGGGTATCTCACTTGAGGAATGTCAACAGTATCTAACCAAGCACCTGAAGACAATCACAATCCAAAGTCATTTAAAAAAAACAGCTGCTAGGTAAATTAGATTAATATAGAGTTAGAACAATATTTATCCCTAGTTCAGGACTTAGTCCTAGCTAGACAGGGTTGTGGGCCATCATATCTCATTGAATTATCCACCAAATGTTCAGCATAAAGAAAATAAATTACTGTTTAACTTCTCAAAGCAATTCAGTTCAAGCTGAGATAATTTTTTCTGTTGAAACATAATTTCACTTTAGACATAAAACATAGCTTTGGTTTTAATATCTAAACCAGTGGCCTAAATTAAGATGAAATAATTCCTTCTAGATCCCAGGGAAAAAGGTAATACCATTAAGGTCACTGAGTCATGAAGAAAGGCCTTAATTTTTTCACATATAGAACCCTTCAAGAAGAGATTGTGATGAACCATAAGAAGGTGCTGGGCATACAAGTATCGTGTAAGACTAATAACACTATACTTTTTTTCTCAGTAGGCAAGTGTAAGTTTAGCTAATTTTATGCTTGTGGAGGCAGGATCTAAAATTAACTGAGGAAAAAAAAAGCCAAAAAACCTTTAAAGAAAACCTTTCATCTGTGGAAATACATTCACAATCCTTAGTCTTTTCCTATTTTAAATAGTCTTCTGGAAGGAGATCTAGGTGAGCCTTGATTTTATGCTCTGTATCTCTTGGAGAATTGAAATTCCTGAATGAAGAAGGAAGAATTCTGCTAAACTGCTGAAGTTCCACTGCAGCCTTTTGCTATTTATGAAATAAGAAACCTACAGACTGTTTAGAAAAATAAAGAAAATGCAGAGAAATTCTCAGTCTATAGGTTGAAGACATTTAGAATATTGGTAACACACTGTGGTGCTCAGGAAGAACTCCAGAAAAGTCATTGGTCCCACTTTCTAACTTTCAGATGAGAAATGGTCTTTAATGTTGATGAATATCCTTTCATATTAATGAATGATAAAGGCACTGACGTAAGAGGCACAAGCATTTCACTGGGAGCAAGAAGGATACCTTGAAAAAAAAATCATCTGCCTGCGTAGGCATCTAAGATTTTGATATATGGCTTGCCTTTTCTTACTGCATTATATGGAAACCAGGAAAGAGCATCCAATGGAAAAAGTACAGTCTGCTATGGACAGCTTTTACAAGTTTCTGTGGGCACTTTGTTTTACAGTTTAGAAGGTAACACTGACTCAGATGGTGAGGCTAATGAAATGACCCCTGGAGGTGTTTAAAAAAAGACTGCATATGGCTATGGTTTAGTTGATAAGGTGGTGTTAGGTCATAGGTTGGACTTGATGATCTCCAAGGTCTTTTCCAACCTATTTAATTCTGTGGTTCGGTGAAATCTGTCTGTCTTAAAGTATTGAGTCTCCCTTCCCACAAAGTCAGTAGTTCCAGAGCTACCTGGCGTCTGGTCATGAAGGAGAGTCATTTCATTGGATATATGGTGAAATTTTGGATAAAAAGGAGGTAAACAGCCTTCCCTTCATGAAATGACCATGTAAGGAGAGTTGGGGTAAATTCATGAAATAACTTGAGAAGCTAGACACTGAGACACATTAGAGCTGCAGAAGTGTTTAAGATAGCTATCTGTCTGAGTTATTTGGCAGTATGCCTGCAGTTCCAGAAATAAATTCCTATCAGCTAAAGGCTCATGTGTCACTGCTGTTCCAGCTGATGAATGTGCAAACCTCCAGGTGGATGATTTGGAATTAGCTGTGGGTTAAATTGAATAAAAGGACTGCAACAGATAAGAACTGCACAGCAATAAAAAATAATTTCTTTCTCTTCTTTTAGCTTCACTACTCATCACTGTCTCCGTGAAGACAGTTCTGGCTTTTGTAATTTTTATCATTTTTATTGGTATGCACAATATAGCAATATACAGTTGAGAGTTGATTAAGGAGAACATGAGAAAGAGAAGGTTATCAAAATGCCTGAGGTGTTTTAAACTACACTCCCACTTTTTGGTTAGAAAGTTATATTAAAATTGTGTGGTGTGTGGTGCACTGCAGTTCCACATTACTGCTGGACATTGTGAGAGTGTACAAGTTTTTATACCCTCATTCTTGGAAGAATGGCTGTAAAAAAGGGAGCTGCCAATATGATAGGCACCAGAGCCAGGAAAACTGAGCAGATCGAATTAAGCAGACCAAAATTTTTTATACATTCTTAGTTGCCTTGAAAATGCTGCCCTCAATAAAGAAAAACTATGCCCAAGAACTTCTAATTGAAGGGGAGAATAAGAGGGCTGACTTTAGATCCTCCTGGGGAAATAAAACCCTTCACAATCCCTTCTGCAACTTGAACAAGGAAGAAATGTAATGTGAAGAGACTTGGTTTTGAGGTTTTACATAGCCAAATGTGTTCATTTCACTGCTCATTTGATTTTGCTTTTCTCTGTTCCCTTCCTTGGAAGGGTGAAAAGAAGTACTAAATAACAAAAAGAAGTAGTTGAAGAAGTGCAAGTTTTTAATATGAAATTATATGATGAGAACATGTTCTAAAATGCTAAAATGCAGTTCTTACATTTCTCCTGGGACAGCATGCAAAAAGGTTAACTTTTGCCAATTTGCAAAAGAAGCAAAAGAATATCTGAAGGTCGATGAGGATATTCTTACTCCTACAGAAGGATATGGCACATAGATGTACGCAGACAACAATGCCATTTTGAATGATTCAGATCATAGAACACCTACCTTCCCTGATCTCTAAGGTTTTCCAGTGGCTGAGAAAGCCTGGAGCAGTAGAGCAGTGAGAGTAAGCCAAGTTACCAGGAACAAGCAGAGGAATGCACTCAGCAGCCTGCCAGCCTGCAGCCGCTTGCCTTGCATAAAAATCAATTTTTTGATAACCTCAGAGTAGAATAAATTACACAGTAGAATAGGTCCTCTGCTCACACTGTAAGAGCAGAAGGCAGTAGTGTCTAAGGCTTCTTTCTTGATTTAGGACAGTGGAAAAAGTTGGAACTATATTCTTATGTCTTCTGTTTATGAAAAAGAAAATAGGCAATATGAATGGACTTAGCAGAATCAGTCTTGCAAAGAAGGATCTCTTGGAATTTCCTGCTTTCAGCAGGGCTCATGGGCAGCCATAAGCAGAAGAGAAGCATATGCTCATCATCTAACATGGGAATGTTCTCCTTCCCAGCAAAGTCACACAGTATGGAATTTTTAAATAAACCTCACTTTACCTGTTCAAGATCTAATCGTGGAAAGCACCTGATTGTGCATCATTTGTCTCAATACTACCACCAAAATCAATTGATTGTGCAGAGGGTTTGCAGGATCACCCCCTAAAGGAAAATGGTTTCCATTCTTTTATTTAGGCTTGGATTTTTTCTAGTATTCTTGCAAAATATGGCTGAAGGTGACTATTAGAGTAGACTAATTAATAATTAGAGGTCAGGATATCCAACTCAAATTTAATCACTTCCTTGCACTACTTAAAATATCACTGACATCCTTAAATTAAGTCCATACCTCCAAATGCAGGACACAGGTTTACAGAGCAGTAAATTTGCTAATGAGAGTTAGCAAAATTTTCAACATGTATTTTGAAATCAGAAGGTTATTGTTAGTTTAGAAGACATCAGATTGGGCAGATTTGTCTAAAAATAAGGCTTTGATTCTGCCTCAAAATATTTCTTCTCTGTGCTTCTGTTGTAAATTTTGTCAGGCCTTACAGAAGCAATTCCCCTCCACCACCTAAACCCAGCTATGTTTCTAATATTTCAGACAAGTTAAAAACAGAAGATTTTGAATAACTACAATTAACTTTTGTTTTAGCTTTTTTTTTTCTTCCAATTAAAAACTCAGTGGAAGAACAGAGCAACAGCAATGACAGACAGTGATGTTTCAAAGAACATGACAGCATTTCTGTTCCTTTAGAATTATCATTGCATTAGTTTTTGCTTGTTTGCAGGGTTTTCCTTTTGAGGAAAAAGGAACTCCTTTCTAGTCACATCCACTATTCATTTTTTCATCAAATACTGCCTAGAAGAAACATGTTTTTTGAGTTCATAAAAAAATTATCTCCAAAAGAGAAAAGAAATAGAATTGTTGTTTTAATTATCTTTTGACTTCAATCTTTTGTAACAATTTGTCATGCAAAGGGTAGTGAAAAGCTACTGCTATTTAATTATGGATGTGGTTTGTTTGCTTAATAATAACTATGTAGACAGTCTGTAAAAGACATCACTTAGTCTAATACTGTAAAATTAGCTTTTGAAAAAATGGGTTGAATGATCAAAACCTTGAAAAATACAAAATTCTTTTTTAGTGTAAAATATAGTTGAAAATTTTGGAAAAGAATGAAAAGAACCTCTTTCTGTATGTGGCAACTACTTCATGCTTAATCCAAGTGTCACAATTGAGTTCCTGTAATGCACTATTCAAACAAGTGTTCAGTCTTTAGCTCAGGCCCAGGGAACAACTACCATGAGTAAATACTGCAGTGCTTAATGTTACAAAAAGAACAAAAGGCCTTTGGCACACATGTTTTTCAATTATATAATACAACTTTGAGAGAAAAAATAAGAATGCATTGGCACACTTTTTAGCAGATTGAAATCTGAAGAAAGCCACATATTCCTGGTGATATTATAGTGATTTTTACTTATGGGCTATGCACTATGAACTGCTACAATGACACAAACAAGCAGGAATCTTGTCCTGCTTCAAGTATAGTACTTTAGAAGTCAACGACCATCCTGTGTTTGAGTTATAAAAAACACAGTTAAAAGCTTGAAAATGTGTAGAAGTTATGCCTACAGCTTCCTCACAGATAGGCAAGTCTTATTTATATCAAAATTATAGCTTTCTTCTCTGTCTGCCTTTTCACCTTTAAGTTAAATCCAATATGTAGGGTAAGTGGCTAATTCCATGAATCCCAGGCCTCTGCAGAAGGTAACATCCACGTTTTGATCCTACCAGACATTTCTTGTTGTCTCTTGGTGGTTACTCTATATCAAGGAGATCATCAATTTCCCACAGCCTGGTGGGAAATCAAGCAAATTTAAATACAAATGAGCATTTTCATTGGCTTTGGCTTTGCTAGTGTCAGTGTACATTGCTCTGAGCCTTAGGGACATGGCAGCATTGTGAAGAAAGTATGGGAATGAAAAAATAAAAATTACATATTTAAACTTTGCCTGAATTGTGAATATATTCTATGGCAAGGGACAGTAGTAGAGATTTTAATATACAATAATTATTCATAAACATCGCTTACACTACAAATTCAGCTGAACTTTGTAAGAACCTTTTTCTTAAAACAAAGAGCAGTTAGGAGAGAATTCTTCCGTGTTTTGCTTTTTCAGGAAATTACATGTTAAAATTCTTCATCAGGCTCTGTGATGGTGAAGGTTAATGTGGTCTTTATAATCTGAGATGAAACTGACTGTGTCCTTCACTTTTTCTGCACTTTCACCATCCGTCCGCAGTGAGAAAAAGCAGCAAGTCTTCACTGCTACAGGCAACATTTAAAGATAGAGGTATCCAACCCAGTAGACCAGGTTAAACAGCAGGAAAGATGTAGGAAAAAAGACCCTAGAGTAAGAGTCCAGTTCTAAGATGTCTATGTGAATCCGTCCTCTCCTCCATGAGCCTGATTTACACTCTTCATAACAACAGAAAAAGCTCTGACAGTCTTTCCCATCCAGACATTCATAGACACATGCATCTTCAAAATCTTGCCAATACATGGTATTGTTCAATGTGATGACTGTAGTTGGTGGTCTCATATCAAGTACAGAATAATTCTGAGGAGAAAAAAAAAACCACAATGGTTTGATAAGTTTCTCTGTATGATGCAGATCAAAATTAATAATCACAGCAAGCAACAATAATTTTTTCACTCTTAAGAGTTCACTTACCTGTCAGAATATTATTTGCAAGTTGTTTTAAATACTTGCAGCTACATTTAAGATGGATTCTCAATAATAAGGAAGATATACCCCCTCTCCATTTATTTCTACAATGTCCTCCATTTCGCATAGGAACATTCACTGCCTCTTAACTTTACAGTGATTTATAAAAACAGATATGGTCAGCAATAGATAGTGATCATTTCAGTACAGGATTTCAAAATGCCATCCCGAGACATGTCCCCTTAGTGCTTATCACACAAACCATGCTCAGAGATAGGACACTTTGATGTCATGCACATCCTCACAGCAGCCTTCATGCTTAAAGACCTCTCCCTCTCCAATGTACTCTCTATTTGCACTTTGTCAGCTTTTCTGTCACATCATTTCCTTGGCATGCAAGATGCCTTCTCACAGTAGTCTCCCCTTTCATTTACCCATTCCATCTTCACAAATGTCACCTCCTCTGCTGACATCACTAGAAAAGGTCCCCATCAGCTTTGCTGCCTGTCTGCACTGCCCTGACAAAGCAGACACAGCCCTGTCAGCCTGGTTTTCTCTTACCTAAGAGGCCCTTCCTCTCCCTGGGGTTGTGCTGAGCATTGGCTTTGCCTGCAGGAGAGTGCTGGCTGTGCTCTAACAAGCTGATCACGATTGCTTGCATTTAGGAAGATGCTCTGGGTTATTGCATCCATACTATACAAAGTACTCAACATTTCCTGCTGAAGGTGTTAGGGAGTGACTGAAAACTTTCCTTCTGGATGGGGAAAACATTGGTGATATGACTGATGTGCCTCAGTGGGAATTTTTCCTTTTTACATTGATTTAATTGATTTTCTACAAATCTTTGGTTTGGCATGCTGTAGTATTACCCATCTGATTAAAAATGCTGGTTCCTGAGCTAAGAACTTGATGTGCGTCCTAGGGTGACTTAATGATGCTTTTATCCCCAGTCACCTGTTCTGTTTCTGCTGGATGTTAAGTTCTGCACCTTTAAGGCTGGTTCTGAGAGCGAAGGTGGGGAGAAGAGGCCGCAGTTTGTTTGCAGAAACTGCACTCGCTCCCTGCATCCTTCTCATGACTGTGCTGTCTACACACGAGCAGTGGGAGAGAGCTCTCCTTTGCTTTTAGCTAGGTGAGGCAGAGAAGTTCCCGGACTCTGGCTTTTCTTTTTCTTGGAACTCTTCATCCATGCTCTGGGCTGAAAACCCAGACAAACACTGGGAACTCACACCACGAGCACCAGGGCGTGAGATGCGGCACTTTCCAGCGCCGAAGGGACTGATAAGAGACTGAGTGAGCTGAGCTACACCCATGACAAGGACTTTCTGAATTTGCCATCTCTTCAAAGCAGTGAGAGGTTTTGTTGTTTAACAATATTAATTTTTTTATGCTTGTGAATACTTTACTTCTTAAATAAATATTCTTCCACTTTTCTCCAAGGAAATCTTTTCCTGAACTGGCTGGGGGAGAAGCACCTTGAATCTGGTTTCTAGAGAAACCCCTTTGGAAGTTTTCTTCCAAATTTGCCCTAACCCAGGACAATGTAGCATCCCTCTACTTAGATGCTGGCACTGCCAACCCAGATATCTACACCTGAACAACTGCCCTATGGAATCCAGTCAATTCTGGACACAATTCATTTTATCATAAGTAAATGCTAAAATGTCTCAGGCGATTTCTGCTGTGAACTGCAAAAAGATTGCAGTTTAGAAGCAGATTATTGCAAATCTATTTGTTGTGAATGACTTTATCTCTGAGATTAGATGACAGAAATTACACCTGTTTGGTCTTCTCTCTCTTTGCTGAAGTTTCGGGTGGCTTGTTTCAGAGCCGTACAATGTGTTGCCATGTGAAGAAGGTCTAAGATTATTGTACAAGCAATCTTTTTTGACTCTACTACTTTGGAAAGAAAAAACAATGACTAGACTATACATGGAGTTCTACTATACCACTTGGTCAAATACTATACATTTATTGAAGGTCTTTATGAACATTTCCATCTCAAGAGCTTAAATTTTCCACGCCTGTCTAAAATATTTATGTTAAAAAAAAACAAAGGCTCAGAGAGGTTTTGGTGAATGAAGTTAAAAAAGTACTCTGGCTCTGCAAAGGAAACTTCCTCATCTCTAGGATATTTTGCTGTTTTGTTATATCAACTATATGTTCAGGACAGAAGATAAAATAATTGCCCTAATAATGCGGAGAGATGATTCTGTTTGTTTTAATCTCTGTCAGGTAGGAGAGATCCTGAAGTGACAGGGTACAAGGGGAAGGCGGATGGTCCCCCTGTGTTCTGTGTGTCCACCTGAGCTGGTTGGGAGGAGAGTAGTGCACACACAGTGGGCACCATCCCAGTCCAGCCCAGGAGGTCTGCCTGTGCAAGGCACTTCTCCAGGGCCTTGGACAAGGCAGTTCAGGTGTAGTGTTAAACATGCTTAATAATATTATTTCTGACAAAGTATATGTGTGTTTTCTGGGAGGTAAAGAAAAGTCTTGGGATTACCTGAACATGGATTTACTAATATTAATAAATTTCACCTTTTAAGTATCACCACTACAAAGCTGAAAAGGACAAAATGATATCTTGAGAGCCAGAGACATTGCTTATTTAAGTTCTAATTGGGAGATTTTTTTGTATAGACAAAGGTCCTGCTCAATAATTATTTTAAGGTGAAGAAAAAAAGCTCAGTAAAAAACCTGAAAATGCTGCAGATACTTTCCAAGCAGATCAGAATGACTAGTTCTAGATAGAGGTTTTTAAACCCTAATATCATTTTAATTATCTTTCCCTATAGCTTTTAATTGGAAAAAGGAAAGTGCTGCTACCCATTAAATGTGCTCTGTTAACTTCATCTTTCAGAAAAGTCTGTCCTGGGAGTGGCAGCAGTAGAAAGTGGATAGATGTAATGCTTGCTGTAAGTTATATGAGGTCTTAAAATACATCAGAGAACTCGTATTTAAAAAATAGGAAAAAAGTATATATTATTATTTGTAAAAAGATAGGATAATTACATGGATCTAGCAGTAATAAATGAGAAACTTCAGCATATCCAACCTAAGAAAGGCAAACCCCAATGTCTTAGGTCTTATCCTTTTTTGTCTGATGGCAGACCATTCAACCAGCCAGTAAACTGCCTTCGTGCTGTCTGAATGCATAGTGTATAGTATATTTGCATATACCATAGCAGGTGTTCCAGTTTCAGATTTCATACAACTTAGAGACACAATTTTGTTCTCTGTTCCAACTTTATTGCTGCTGCACATATTCCATTTGTAGATAGAGTAAAACTACCTGTGCTCAACACGTTTGTTTGAAAACCCACCTGAAAGCTTGCTAAAGGTTTTGCATATGCATAAATTAATTTTTCTGTGAAACTTAATTAAACATAGAAGTTTATGACATAAGTTATGGTCATTACTCTCTTATAAAATGTAGTGAGAAAATTCTGTGTTATATAAAGCAGATACACAATATTTCTGAGGTAAAAATAACACATAATATTTTATACTTGACCCTCCTCCCTCCCATATCACTTGAAAAGTCCTTATAGAAAGAGGCAGATATGTTCCTCTGCCACAGCTGAAAGCAAACTGACCTTTTAACAAAAAAGCAAATAATATTTTTAGTGAAGTCAGGGTAAAGCATAACACAGCAATACAGCTCTCTCAGGAATTAGTGCAAGTAAATGTCAACCATCTATTCATGCCCCCAATTCTCTCCCTGAATAAAGAAAATTACTTACCATTACATGACCAAAACTTACATCAGGTAGCTTAAATAAAGATAAAAAAAATAATTATTCAGGAGAAAACAAACTTAGTGCTTCTCATGCATTTATATTCAGTAGTATTCCTTGGATCAAGCCCTAAAATGCATAAAACACTTCATGCAGTGTGTTCTATATATTCAGCATAATATCCTGTACACTTGAAACTTCAGCAGAATGCACATCTAGTTTTCATAGACTTAAAATCTTTATTCAAGCCATTAAATTTATTTATTGGTTGAACAATAGGTAAGTGAGCATGTTTTTGGTGTTAATTTAAATCCTGTCAATGTTGCATGCTTTCTCACTACTTCATTCATATGTCTGGAATTACATCCTACTAACAAAGATACTCATGACTTTTCAATTCAGTCTTTCCATAGGATGGCAATTTTAGTTTGATCACTAGCAAGTTCATTTCAGTCTCAAACTTTTCTTTTGTTAACAATCTTTTGCCTTTTGTGAGCAATGCATTTTTGCAAGAAGATATTTTAGGCTTAGTGGAGTTGTCATTGACTAAGTCTGTGGCTTTCTAGACATTCTCTAATCCCATATTTGTTTCAGCTTTTCCGTCATTAGTTCTTCATTCAATCATTTTCTATAGCTCTCCATTCAATGCCTTTTTACATCATGACCTATTATTCCCTAAATTTAGGCTTCTCTCCCCTCAATTTCCTTCTTCACATTTTTCCTATTTGGCTTTGATTTCTGATTTCAAATGCCCTTATTTCAAATGTCCTTATTTCCTCCATGACACACAATGGCATCCACCTCCACTACTTATCTTGAACACATATTTATCACTAATCTTGAGTGGTCAACTCCCTTCTGTATGTTTACAGTGAGATTTCTTTCTTTATTAAAATGTCCCCTCTCATTCTCGTAGCTGGTTTTTAAGTAAACCAGGCAATTCTTCCTGTATGATTGTTTTAGTTGATTCTAAACAGATAGTTTTTGTGTTTTTCTGGGTGTTACACTTGGAAGTTGGTTTTTGGCCAAAAATGAGCCATGGTTAAAACCTTTTTAACCAACCTCCATTTTTGTCCTTGGGAACATGCACCTTTGTGCACAGGGCTTAAATGCTGGTTCCCAGCAGAGACAATGAAATTCTGGTCACAAATATTTCTAGACCTGTTAAGGCATGAAATAGCAATGCATTTGAATATGCACTGACGTGCATTTATTTGTATAACAAGCTGTGCAATGTTTCAGTGGGGGATTTTTCCGACTCCAGCACAGTAACTGGAGGACAAAAGATGCATAGGCAGGGTTGCTGCTCCATGGTGAGCAGGCTGCTTCTGTTAGGAACAGACCTTGCTCAGCAGGCACATAACTGCTCCTACTGCTACTGCAGGCTTTTCCAGATCACACCACTGGGAAAATCATGGAGGAGTGAAGTGCCGTGTGATTTCAGGCTACAACTGAATGATTATCTGCTCACTGAGCTGCACGTGAAAAGAAGTTTAAATGCTCCCATCTTACCGACTTTTTCTTCTTAGTACAGTTTGGTTTCCTGCAACTTGAGTAGTAGTTGAGGGTGGCATACTCCATCAGAGCAGCAAAGACAAATAGAAAGCATACAGTCACAAACAGATCCATGGCAGTGACGTAGGAAACACGGGGCAATGACTTTCTTGCGATGGTACTCAAAGTTGTCATGGTCAATACTGTGGTGATGCCTGCAGGGAGAAACTTGATTTAATTGTGTGCAACATCACTTCTCCATATCACAAAAGAATCTTTGGCTATAAACATACAAAACAGAAATCCAGAGTGTACTCAAGTAATTAATTTCATTTGGTAATATTAAGAAATAATGGAAAATAACATCAGTAGGGACAAAGCTATTTTTTAAACAAAGATTTACTCTGTTGTTTATTTTCATCTTGGCACAAGTGATATTCTCATGCCTCTCAATATTTTTTTCTTCATCTTTTCTTTTTTCCAATCCCAGTTAGGCTGAAGATGGAGGTGAGGGAGAGGGAGCGACTGAAGAAATTTTTGAAGAAAAGTGTGAAGCAGAAGAGATACTAAACTCAGAAAAATAAACCCAAGAAACATAGTAAGCAGTGAAGGAAACAAGTTCTATTCCACAGTAGTAGTGCTCTCAGGAAAAATCTAATGCTCAAAAAAAAAAAAAAAAAAAAGTGGAGGGAGAAAAAAAATATAAATCTGCTAAGATCTGACCATGGATTCTGAAAATATGTGTTCACACACTGCTTCCTTGGGAGTCCTCCAGTGCCATTTTCCTTCTGAGTAAAGGATGTCAGGGTTGCTTGCTCAGTCAGAGTAAGACTCATATGAACTTCAAATGCAACATTAACAGAAACAGCCTTTTTAATGCATACAAAGCATCACTTCTGAGATTGGTTTAGTAACAGTGAATATAATGGGATTAGTGTGAAATATCCAAAATAATAAAACCAGTGCTAGAATCAAATCTATGTCATGTAAGTTATTTGACTCCTAGTAATTCATACAATTTCTCTTCATTCCTGAGGAATAGAAGTCTTTTCATTCCCAGATTGTTATGAACTGCATGTCTTCTAATAGAAAAAAAACTACCTTCTTATTGGCTTGGGAAAAGGAATAAAGCTTTCCCACAAGTAAGTCTCAAGAGAGAACCTTCTCAACAAAGAACATAGCTATAAGATAATCTTTCATTTTTATAGTTTAAATGATGTTTCACAATGGTGCACAGTGTTAGAAATGGCAAGAAATGACTGAAATTATGCCTTATAGTTAAATAACTTCTCACTAAAAGCACTCTGGAGAGAAAGAAGTATCTGTGGATTACTTTTGACTGCTTTGTCTTTTTGAAGGATTGTCCATCTCTGACTTGTAAAGTTTGATAGAGGCTACAGTGAGTCACAGGAACAACCTTATCCATTCAAGCTAACAAAAAGTCCCCGGAAAAGTCAGAAGAAAAATTATTGCCTGTGTCTCAACCTTGAAAAATAATGATTAATTTAATTCCTTATATATCTATTATCCAGAAACAAACAAACAAAAAGTTTCTGAAAAAAAATCACAAGTCAATAACCAAGATGAAAGCAATGCTGGTAGGAAGTGGAAAGTGTGGACTTTGTGTGTGCCTTGGACATCTAAAAGCTATGGGAAAATATTTCCTTTTCCTGAAATCTATGCCACCTCCCAGTATAAGCAGATGGGCTTGGCATGATCCAGCAACCTCTCCAGACCCCTTAACATCAGTTCTGTACCCAGCTGATGCTTTAGAAAAGCTTCAAAGACAGTGTTTAGTCATTCATCACAGCAGCCAACAGCTGCAGAAGGTGTGAACTCGCTGACTTTGATTTGACCCTTACTAACTATAGGTCAACCACGTTCTCTATGGCCTTGACCCAGGCCTTGGGAGTCACTTATTTCAAAAGAACCACATCCAGACTGTGACATACCCCACAATATAAAATAAAGTTCTTTAACACCTCCTAATCCACATTTAGATTTCTGACACAAAAGTGTCCTTTTCAGACCTACATGTACATCCTTTCAGGCATTTCACTGTCTTAAAAAACTTCCTCAAAACCTATAGGGTTCTTCCATTACAGTATACAGTGTCCTGTTTACCTGGACTCAAATGTAAGTTTTTATTTCCCACTCATCCTGTGATAGGACAATTTTTTATTATAAGGCTAAAAAGAAATAATTAGTTGAAATATATAAGTTCTCAACTCCATCTGCATCCTACATCCATGCCTTAAGCCTGAATGTGAAACACCAGCTCAAATCATGCTTGCTACCAGATTCCTGCTCCCACCGTAAACAAGCACTTAGTTTTTGAAATGATAAAAATTCTATCTAATGTATCAATTGTACATCTAGGATACAGCCACAAATTTAAAAATGTTAAAATGAGTTTATGGGGATACATATAGAGAGGAAAGAGAAGGAAGGTGCACCAGGTGATACAGTTTTGTATTTCTGTACATTTAGAAGTCAGAATATATATATGTAAGTATTAGTAAAATGCAGCACCATTATTTCCAAATATAATGTCTCGTTTCCATACCCTTAGTTCATTTTATCTCTCATGCTAAAGAAAGTCAGTTTGTTGAGTGGTTTCAAATGCATATGTCTTGCCAGATGAAATTGTGAAGTCTCTTACTTTGTGGAGTCCCATATGGCAAAATGAGCTTTACATCTGTTATTGAAATTCACAGTGCTCATGAAGTATCTATTTCAACAGAATTTTAGTATCACCTAAGGACAGCTCTGAGGTAACCTGACTTCAGAATTTTCAGGGAGAAATTGTAAGTGCAAGCTTACAAGTCTTTGTGTAAATATTATTTTGGGATGTTATATTCTCTCAGTAAATCCCATATCAAAAATGCTATTTGATATAAAAGAAAGGGCTGACTGGGAGATCAAATTATGCAGATATATATAATGCATGAAAACACTCTAACTTTTAGATCTTTGGTGTAAACAGTTGTTTTAAATTATTACTGCTTGAAATCTGCTTGCTGGACAACCATATGCAAACTGAGGTGGCAGAAGTTTCAGTGTTAGAAACTCTTTGGTCAGCAAAGTTAATTTTTTCTTAGTTTCTTGAGGTTATGTTGGTTATGTTTTTCTTAGTTTCTTGAGGAATTGTCTCCTGTTTTCATTCATGCCATCACTTGTTCATGAAGTTAAATCTCCATCTTTCTGGTCTGTCAGCTGTTTTGAATACTTTCTTAGTTTTCTAGTGAATGAAGTAAAGATGAAATGGCAAGGAAAGCAATGTTCCTTTTTTATTAAATACGATCTGTATCTTTTTTTACATCAACACACTGCTGGCCTTGATACCCACTGTATCTTTTTAAACTGCAGCTTGATCTTGCTCTGTAGAAACTGCCTGGTCCTATTACATATTATACCCATTTAAAAAAAAAGTACAGGGAAACTGGATGAAAGCTTCAGTTTGAATTAATTCCCTCCATATTCAATGAAAATAACCTATTCTTTTTCAGATTATAACTTTTCTTCAGGGAAAAGTTGCCTCTTAGATCATTCTGAGATAATTTGGATGACTGGAGACAAGCAGAAACTGTGGAGAGACATTTTTTTTTTCCTCTCTGAATGAAGAGCAGAATAACTCAGGATCAAAAACTCAGTTCTCATCCAGTACTCAAAGTTTACTTCCATTTTCCCACTGACTCTTCAGGTGGCCTGGAGTTAGTCTTGATGCCAGTCTGGGCCTTAGTACCTCAAAGTGCATGTAAAAAGGGGACTATAATACCAAGTTTTTAAAGAATGCTTTAATACCTCTGAACGGTACTGCTGAAAGAATACTTATGGTCCCAAACCCGAATTATTTATTTTTTTTTCCCCATTGTGGAAATATATTAGTAAGCATTATTCAGAAAGGAATAAAACCTGTCCTTCATGTAACTGTGAGTAGTTGCCAATAACTGGAAATTAATCATTAATTCCAGAGAGTGAAATATTTCCCTGGTGCCAGTCCTTTGTATTATTGCAGCTATACTTGAAGAAGGTTTGTTGCACAGAATCTCTATGATTAATTTCAACTAATTAGCAGGACAATTTCAGCAGTTTGCCTTTGGCTGCATTACTCACAATTTTACCATGTGCCACTATCTAGATGTGGATGTGTGTTGTTGCTTGGATGGATTTATAAGTTGCATTACACACATGCAGGTCTACAGCAAAATGGGAGCTTTTGCTTTTCGGCTTACTGCGTCCCAGGAGTTAACAGGCCATTGTCAATTTGGGAGCCCAGGATTCTGTGCACAAAAGAAGTGACCCATATATACTTGACTTTACTTTAAAGAAAGTTATATCTAAGCCTATAAAATTAAATTCTCAGAGTTTTAGGAGTGAGTCATGACATCCATAGAGTAGAGCCTCGGAACAACTCATTTTTATGCTCTTATGCCAAATTTATGACTTCAGTATCTGAATACATTTTTTCTCTGAACTTCCTGCTGACTGAGGGGTGAGGTGGAGAGTCACACATTGGTGATTAGTGATCTACTTCTGTGTCTAATTATTTGAAAAAATTAGATGTGTGGTGTGGGGAACCACCCTTAGGTACAGGATATGAAAAATGCTTATAGCAAATCAATAATTCAAAGTGTTAGATGTCTTTTGTCTCTTTTTTCTTCTGCATTAAGAAGGATTACCCAACTGGATGCTATGTCACTCCCCACTTTAGACTTCCTTTTAAAAACAGATGGAGAACAGCCAGTCTTTCCTTACCTCCCCTGAGTCACCCAATTTAAGAAAAGAGTTCAATTTAAGAGTTCAGTGGAGAAGTATACTTAAGACCTATTGCTCAATTTTCTGGCTATCAGAGGCAAGTCTACATAGGCAGGAACAGGCATTTGTAAGCTGCTCTGTCCTGACCTGTGTATGGTCTTTTTGCTGTCCTGGAGGTGTTACTGGATAACAGAATAACTGTGGGTCATTGTGTCCATCCTGTTGCTGGAGCTGCGGTGTTCTGGCCCTTTGGCACTCACATGGAGGGATTGAGGACTAAATATTCCTTTCCTGTAAAATAACCTCAGAAAAATGGGCCTACATTTTAACAAACTCCAGCAGGAGGATGCAGTGAATAGCTGGGAATGGTTGAAAACAGATATGCAAACTTTGACATAGGCTACCCTTTTTTCCTAGACTGGTTTCAGAGGTTTCTGAATCAGTTCATATGGGCAGACCTGGGAACCACAATCTGAACTAAGGAATTGTTTTTTTTCCTTTGGTTCTGTTTACATATAATTGGCTATTACATACCCCTAAACCCTGCAGGTTTTTGTATAGATATTAGAAAAAATTTCCAAGTTGAAGTCAACATTTCTAAGTGTATGCTAAAGCACAGTGTCCAAATGCACATGCTGGTCCTGACCCATGGGTTTCTGGAAAACCTCAACCAGCATAAATCTCCACAATCTATAAAAAATATCAATACACCCAGTGTGAAGCTTAACTTCAAGCATGCAAGCAAAAACAATTTGCATGTGTTAATATTATTATATCCCACAGTTTTCTGTATATATAAGACATAATGCCCAGTGGGGGAGAGTTACAGATGGGAAGGAAGCCAGCAGTGCAATTAATTAATTCTTCAAAAATGTCATGGTGCGAACAAGGAGACAGACATTAATTCAAGAGTTTTATGCAAAATAGGTGGTAGTGTCATCCAAAGGGTCAGATTAGTTTACTTTTAATTACCTTGTTACAGGAAAAAACCCAGCAGTCTCAGTAATAAGTAGATCTGGTTCTGCGAGGTGTAGTAGTAATAATCCAAAGTGTGTACCTAGTGGTCTCTTTGAAAGGAAGTTGACATTTTCAAATATTAGTGTAGGAACATCAGAAAAGGGAATTATTAACAACTTACCTAATGCTGTTCTTGCTGGTGTGGCATCTTTTTTGATCCAAAAGGATACCCAGGAAAGAACAACTGTTAATATACAGGGAATGTATGTTTGTATAGTAAAGTATCCCATTCTTCTACTTAAGTCGAAGTATATAGTCATGACTACATAATCACCTGCAATAACAGCACAAAAAGGAAATTCACATTGTAATGGGATACAGACAGTTGTTCACTGACCTGATAATATTTTAACTTTCATAAAAACACTGCATATGAAATAATTTTTAGAGTTTCAGCAGCAGCATCTGCACAGTAATCCTCATGTGAAATTTAAGTGAACCTTGCCATTCTAACAGCCTTAAGTTTTAGATCTCTGTGGAAATTATGTATTGGACAGACAGAGCTTCTCAGCAATCATTCTGGATGGATAAAGTTTTGAAAGCCATCTTGAATTTCCAGACTTGGTATTTCTGGATATCTTCAATGGCCACAAATGTGAAGGTACTTTAATTCACCAGATTTTGCAACCACTACACACAAAATCCTTCCTTCTGCAGTCTTCTGTGCTCTAATTCCAGGTTTGAGTGACTTCCGTTATCTTCTTTTGAGATATGAATCTGAAAATAGGGGTCTTTATGGCAAATGTAACATGCACATGAGTATGGATTTACAGAAGACGTCATTTACAGACACTAGAACTCAATGCTGGCATTTCAAAACCATTGTGGCCATTTGTGGTATTTTCAGAAGGTCAGTCTGAACACAAAGTTTATTATTTTGCTGTATAGTAAAAATCATACATTCAAGAAGTCAGTAAGAAGGTTAGTTTATCACACATTACATGATTTTTTTTTATTCTATCTCTACTGCTAACTCTTGTGATTCCACAGGGGATAATAATCTGTTCCTCCCTTTCTCCTCAGTAGAGGCTACTGACCTTATCACCTCTGCCCTACTAACAGCTCTCTCAGCCTCATAGATGTTAACTTTCTCAGACACTCATGGTGAATAACAGTAATAAAACTGAACTGGGACCGATTTCTGTACTGCACTTGAAGTAGGTTGCTTCCATTTCAGATGTAAAGGAAAGCTTATATGCCAGAGAATTTTTATGTGGTTTTGTCTGACTGCATCAGATTTGGCCTAATAAGTCTTATGGCTTCTTGTTACAAACCTTCACTTTCTAGAGTATGATATTTTCAGAAGGCATCATTTGCAGTAGTTAAGTAACTCTGTCCTGTTAGAGCAAACCATCAGAAGAATGAAGAAATTAGAAATATATAAAGATTAATCCCCCAAGGAATGTACATACAACTCACCCAAGCAGAAACACAATGGGTTTATTAGTTGAGGCAAATTAAAGCTTAATCATCTAGTAACAGAGGGCATATAAACAGACACATTTCATACAGTGGCTGAATACAGCAAAATATTATATAGAAAATAAATTAACTCAGTAAGAATATCTTTCATCCAAAGCATCTCTATAAAATCAATGAATTGTCATAAATTAGAAAACTAAAGGTAAATAAAAATCTGATGGCGGGAATTTGGGAAAGTGTGATAGGAAACATTCCTGTATGTGAAGTACATCAGTTTGACATATATATATTTGAAGAGGCTGACAAGCTTGTGGAAGTTTCCATAATGCCTAGAATGTTAGATGAAAGCATACATTTTCACAAGAATTGTGTCGGTGAAAACTGTGTGACCACAAGAAACTGGAAGGTCATTTCAGAAGCTGTGCTTATAGAGCTCACTGTGGTTCCAACTAGGAGATATTGCAGTACATCATGACATAGGAGCCTTGTGGGTTTTTCTACAGGCTAAGGGTTATTGCAATTCCACCAATCCCCAGTAGTTTCCTCTGTGCAGGGAATGACACCAAGGAATTGATGTGGCTCAGTAACCACAGGTTCTGCTGGCTTACTGTTTGGCTGGTTTGCCTCACTGAAGAAAGACTTGCACCACAGAAATCAAGATAATTTCATAGAAACGGTTGTAAAGAGTCAGGTGGAGTGTAAACCAGTGCTTTTACTGACATGAACAAACTGAAAAGCATGGAAGGAATGTTAATGAGTCAAACATTGTCTGTCAAGGTAGAAGAATGAGCAAAAAATGAAATCAAAGACTCTATAGGAAACATGTCAAGCCTTTCCATTTCCTTAACTTGGTTCCCATATCTTGAACTGTGTGTTTGTGGATAAACTTCCTGAGAATGGTATAAAGTCAAGCACAATCTGCACACCTCCACTGTGTGTAACAATACACACAATTCCAGTACCCACACAGGTCACTGCTTCTCTTAGTAGTGTGGTCATGATACTCAGCACAGCAGCGACAGCAGTAGATACTGGGAAAGTAACAGTCTCTCTTTCCAAGGCCTTTGACGAATATAAACCAGATAAACATGAGACTGGGAGAAAATTATGGCACTTTAAATGACGTAGAGAGTCCATCATCACAATTAGTCATTAACTGACTTAGTGTCTTTCAGGCAGGATTCATTTCCTGTGATTTTAGACGTCTAGAAGGCAAATTCTACAGATGACGTGCACACTGTGGCATCCTTTCTACACTTGAAATGAAAAGAAATTGGTACTTTCAGTATATGGTTTGTCTTATCTGCTTTAGAGGCACATTTTAGAAGGTGAATGTATTCAAAACATTTCCATTTCTCTCCTGTGATTAAAAAATAATAGCAAGGGTCTGAGATATGGACAAAAACATTGTAGATATTTGCAGATCATACAAGGAGTTACCCACAGCCCTTGATTCCATGGTGAGAGCTAAATCGGGCTACTCCTGCGAAGATGCTAAGGTTATTTTATTTAAATGTAATGACCTTCTTGATGTTTTAAAAGAGTATTTTAGGTATTTTCCTAAATTATTTCCTTCCTGCCTTCCTTCCTGCCTTCCTGCCTGCCTTCCTGCCTGCCTGCCTTCCTTCCTGCCTGCCTGCCTTCCTTCCTGCCTGCCTGCCTTCCTTCCTGCCTGCCTTCCTGCCTTCCTGCCTGCCTGCCTTCCTGCCTCCCTGCCTTCCTGCCTGCCTTCCTGCCTGCCTTCCTGCCTTCCTGCCTTCCTGCCTTCCTGCCTTCCTGCCTGCCTTCCTGCCTTCCTTCCTGCCTTCCTTCCTGCCTGCCTGCCTTCCTGCCTTCCTGCCTTCCTTCCTGCCTGCCTGCCTGCCTTCCTTCCTGCCTTCCTTCCTGCCTGCCTTCCTGCCTTCCTGCCTGCCTTCCTTCCTGCCTGCCTCCCTCCCTCC